AAAGGAAAAATTGAAATCGCATCATATGACCCCTTTAAAGTTATGAAAGCAGAAAATAACCCTGTATGTTTTTTTTATATATTTATAAGATATGATACTGTTTAGGAACATCAAACAAGCAAGACTGACATTTTCCTAAATATCAGCACATAAGCACGAATGTGATACTGATTTTATACAGCAGTTCAACAAACAAATACATATTAAGTGAGTTACATTTTAGACAATAGTGTCTTTTTTTGTTTCGTTGTAAAAAATCGTATAAAAAGGGAAAAAAAACAGATCAGAAAAAAAACATTTGTGAGTCTCACTCATAGCAACACTGCGGTGTTCAATTCCTGAATGAATCTGCTTTGAAAAAAACATTTGAGTCAATGATTCAATGATCCATTCATAATGACAGTCAACTTGCTTTGTTTCGAAATGAATCAGCCATTGTGAAAGAATCATTTGAACGAATGATTCAATGAATCACTCATTTAGACAGGAACTTGCCACCACCTACTGGTGGTTTTAGTGTCATATTTATTTATCCAAACCAGTACCAGAACAAAAACACACTTGGCAAAATAGTTTATCGTTATTGAAAAATCCCCCCCAAAAAATAGAGATACAATTTTTGTCAATATCACACACCACCACCACATAGCAATGCCTCTAGAACAGCAGCATTGTGACGGTGAGTTTTGCACATGCAAGCACCTGCCACAATGTCTTCAGAATGTCAAAATATAGTTATATTTTGCTGTTTGAACAGAAACTGTTCAAATCATAAATTCATTGACTTTTCAATCTCATCTATGTAATATACATTAGGGGGAAAATCCATTATTGCAGCTCATTCTTCGGAACAAGTACATGTCAAACCAGTCATTCAAAACAGCAAATGTGTCTCTCCTTATACAAGGACATAAATAATTGAAATTGCTTCACTAGCAAACACATATCACCAGAAACAACTGCTAAAGGAATTCACTGTTAACATTCAGAGCTTGCAATTCCAAGTGTCAATCAAATATATATTAACTATCATCAATATTCATTAAATTCTTTCAGCAGAAGACAAAGACTACGGAGAACGGTCTAAAAAAAAAAAAAAAAAAAAAAGAGAAATTGAAGTGTCTTCATTTTGTTCTTAATGACCGTAGAGCACAGAAAACAATGACTTTAATAAGCACTTGAGGACAAGAGTTTTGTCCAACTAAAGGCGAAAAATGTGTTTGAAAGGTAAGTGACAAATGAACAGAAAAACATAGTGTTTTCTTCTCTGTAGTCTGTATTATAATTAAGATGTCCATAAATGCTTTTACAGCGGAAGCCTCTCCTCTTTTGGGTATATGCGGTGCATAATCTTTGTGACAGACAGATTACTGGTATAAGGAAGGGATTTTTTTTTTATATATAAAATATTCTTTTGAAATAAGAATGGTTGATATTAAAATCAATAATTAATTAAATAATCAGAAATCAAAATACAGAAAAACGCAAGATTCCAATCATCTTATGGAGGTTGCATATTCTTAACAATATTTCGGAAAAGCAAGTATTTTGTATTTCCTTTTAATAAATTCAGCCTACTGTGTTTTAATGCATTTAGGCTATGTTTAGTATCTTTACCAATGGTAAAGATACTAAACATAACCCTAAATGAATTATTTTAACATTAATTATAACATACACATAAAAATATAAAACCTTATTTTTTACTTTGAATTTCTACTTTTACACCAACAACAGCAGCAGCATGTAGTGTATATACACTAGAATTTAAAAGTTTGGTGTCAGCAGGATTTAAAATGACTGTTTTCGATTTTAATATATTTTAAAATGTAAAGTATTTTTGTGATAGCAAAGCTGAATTTTCAGCAGCAATTCCTCCAGTATTCAGTGTCACATGATCCATCAGAAATCACTCAAGAAACATTTCTTATTATTATCAGTTTTGAAAACCTCTGTGCTGCCTAAAATTGTGGAAACTGTGATGCATTTTTTTCAGAATTCATTTATGAGAAAGCTCAAAAGAAAAACATTTATTTGATATAAGCGTTTCTAACATAAATGTCTTTACTGTCACTTTTGATGGATTTAATGTGTACTTACTGTACACACAGTCACACAGAGAGGTCAATGTACCTGCATGTTCTCCCGGTGAGCACTGCCATGATTGTTGTCTGTGATGATACAGAGAGACTGAAGGAAAATCGCATTTACTTTACCACACTAGCACTGTGTTTGCAGTCAACGCAACGGTTAATTATAAAGAAACACTCGAACACCTGAATATGCAAAGCCTAATAACTAAATTAAGGGTGCGCCTGTGTCGCCACAGCTTGTGTGATTGTATAATATCAACGAGTGTGCCGATTCTTCTTAAACTGACTAGTCAAACAAAAAGCTTAAGCATTTAAATTATTAACAACAATTAAACACTGATTAATCATTAGCGTCCCTATTTAAAATGACCGAAACAAGTCTAGTAGAATTCAGATGCGATATCCGCAAAGTGCGTGTGTGTTAAAGCGAGGAACGCCAACATGAATAACACCTATTGTTTGGCTTGGATCACAGAGTGACAGATGTACCGAGATTAAAGAATGTCACAATATTCCTCTCTTCGTGTGACTGTGTATTTGGGCCACACTTTCCACACAAACCCTCACTCTCTGCAGGCAGTGAAACAGCCTAAACAGTCTGGCTCCGGTTGGAGCCCATTGCTTTAGACGGAGAGAAAGAGAGAGGGAGAGAGAGAGAGAATTAGACGTCAGTGATTAATGCATTCCACAGCACTGCTCTCCCGCAGCATAAAAGAATGGTACAGACAATAAGAAGTCCTAAGACCTTACAATAACAACCAAAACATGCCCACAAAACCTACAGATGTAAACACCATGGCGTTCATTATAACATCACCTTCTAATACACATACAACTACTCTTACACATTTACTTTTTTTTAAATAACACAAGAACATTTACAAAGGCGGTCAGCTGACGTCAATCCTCATTTGCATATAAATGAGGGAGTGGAATGCTGATCTCTATCTACAGCCTGGCAGTGACCTATTAGAGCCGACTGGAGAGATTTCCTCATAAACCCATCAGACCTGCTGACACACACACACACACACACACACAGAGGGCTTTCTTTGTAAATTAGCAAAGTAGCTGTACTAGCTGATTGGTGATACTTATCAATGAGATGTACTTTCTTTTACTGGTAAATGTTTTCTATCTTATTTTATTTATTTGTTTATTTATCTATTTTTAATTAATGTATCATTTTATGTATTCATTATGTATTCATATTTATATATATTTTTTTTACATTGTTGATTTTGTTTTTTTGTATGTTTTTCACCTCTTCCTGATTGTTACGTTTTGTGTAGATGTTCTTTAATGTTCTCCTGAATTTTTTGTTTTATTAAAAAAAAGAAAGAATAATAATTAGGCCATTGTGATGTTGCTAGGTAATTTTCCCCGACTGCCATAGTAGTAGTGTAATTGCCATAGTAGAACTGGTCATCCTCTTCAGTTGTACATGTACCACCCTGACACTGGCTTCAATAAAGAATATAAGCATTAATGTGCGATAAAAATGCCAGAGTAAAAAAAAGAAAGAAAAGAAAACAAAAATAGAGACAGAAAGAAAAATAGAGAAAAAGAGACCGAATGCCTTTGGGCCAAGTAGTGTTTGTTTTTTTCATGAGAAAACCACCAATGTGGCTGGCCAATTCCCCCTTAGGCTACGAGAACCCAGCTTTTTGAAACAATAACCCTGGTGGAGCTACTGCAGGATGGCTGTTGGCATTCCCACGTCCGCAGCCTGCCGCCCGGATACAGCTCATCCAGCATAATGGCCTGAGAAGTTGCACCTTGGGGAGTTAGACTTCCATTTAGAGGTTAGGGGAAATATTCTGACAGTTCTGAAGGAGATGTTCTGCTCCAGAGGACATGGATGAAAGCTATAAAAGGTGGGATCCAGTGGGTTTGGCAGAGCTGCTTCTGGGTCAGCTCTGACTTAGCGGTTAATAATTTTAACTTGGCTATTAATAAAGTTTGATATTGAATGGAGAAAACCAATCGAGGACCAGGGTTGTGGGGTAACCAAAAACTAGGACACTGTACTTTTATGAACTATTATAATCTTACATAAAAATCAGATGATAAAAATGAGACATCATTCAGCCTTTATCAATGAATGCCTGCTTTTAAAGGGATAGTTCACCCAAAAATGAAAATTCTGTCATCATTTACTCACCCTCGTGTCATTCCAAACCTGTAGAACTTCTGTGGAACACAAACACATTTAACCTAATGTACCTTTTAGCTTTTGGGTACCGCCCCAGAGTGACAGCTTTGTACCTTTTTTTTTTTTTCTAAGAGTGTACAGACAAAAAAAAAACACTGAGAAATGTGTGTTCCACAGATGAAATATAGTCATACAGGTTTAAAGCGAAATTAGAGTAAATGATAGCAGAAGTTCAATTTTTTGCTGAACGCTCTCTTTAATAGCATAAAACTATTTATTGTCCGCAGGTTCATTTCTGAAAATAGCACTAATGAGCACGTCAGCATATGAACTGAAGCAAAAGGAAACACTGTTCCACAAAGCACACTGTATCACATTACGCTACCACTCTACAAGTTACAGCTGAACGATAACAACATTAACATTTAATGGGAAAGCAATCTGGGTATTTTTGTCATAGCTGCACTTGAGAATGCGAGCAGGAGAAAGTAGGCAGGCAGACTGGGTTAAAGTTTTATTGAAAGGGACCACTCATCAAGATACTAACGTAGCCGCCTGGAAACATTCGTCAGATTATCATGACTGAGGCAATGTATGCAGACAGCCGATTTAATTAAGATAAGACCAGAGTGCTAAGTGTTAACAAACACCATGATAGCAAATGGATGCAGGATATCTGCACGCTCCTGAAATAAAAAGCATCAATATTTATACAGCCAACACCTTGTATATATGGCCATTCACATATCAGACATCACTCTGATGTCTGATTACAAGCAGGAAATCAAATCTAGATTAAAAAGAAAAAAGTAAAATATATGGTATTTAAATTGGTAAATGGTATTTAAAGAGTCTGTGGAATAAGATAAGATACTAATCTGCGAGTAGACTAGTATCTTATTGCTTAGAAAAGTAATAATACTTCTCTCTTCAACAAGCTATTTGATTTCTCATTCAGGTCCATCGCACCACAGGTGCAGCATAAACAACACATGAGAGTTTAATATTTAGGGTTAGGGGTTTCTTCAAATCCCTAACATTAAGTATGAGCAATAAATGTAGTCATACTTGTCTTGGCAAACACCACTAATTAAGAAAACACAATGCTTGCAACCCATTTGGAAAGCATTTCTTTAAGCTCTCCGCAGGGAGTGGTGTCGTCTTTACCAGGAATACAAAATTAAATGTGACTCCAGAGTAATGTTAGCTTGCTTTGAGACATTCATGTTTCCACTTCGCCAACTCATGCAGAACACATGCACAGACATGCTACGAAACAGAAAATTAAGGGCAACTTCCAACATGCAGGTCAATGCTTAAACAGTAATTACAAGAGAGAGAAAGTAGGAGGGAGAGAGAGGGCGTCGACATAGACAGAAGAACATCAGAGGAGAGAGTGGATGAGCAATGGAGAGAGACAATTGGCAGTGGGGTGTGATGGGAACTGAACTTTGCTCCAGGCATAAAGCAGACTCATCATTATTCAAATAATTTTTACTAGCTTTCCTTACTCAGCGCTAAAAACACAGGCTGGGCTCCGATTTTTCACAGACAGAGGCTGCGTTTCTTTTAGTGACAGCAAGTCACAGTAGACATCATTTTAATTTGACAAAAACGAGTCTGTGAAAGACAGAAGTTCAATATGTCATGCTGTCCTAAGGCTGGGCATCATATCTAAAAGCTCAGTTTTTGAGATTTTTTGGTCGACTTGAAAATTTTAAAGAGACATATTTTCAACTAATAATAATAATCAACAACCAAGTACACCACTGTCTGTCATTTTCAAAGTGTCATCAAATGAAAAAAGTATAGCATGCCAAGCAGAACACAACAGTACAATGTATTTTCAACTTTTCATCAAATGAATGATTGACCCAGGTACAAAATTGTACAATGTATTTTCAATTGTCTGAAATCATCTGAGAAAATTTTAGTCGGACTAATGACTTTGTTTTGGTCCAACTGAAATCAAACTTTTAATTCAATTTTCTACTACAGTATTAAAGCAGCCAGGGGTTAAAGTTCTCTGGTTCTCTGGTTAAACCTGGTGTAGGATCCTGGTGCACCATGCGTAAAGAGTGAATTATGTAAAAGTGTTTTTCCTCAAAAATCTAGCATGTGCTACACTCAAAGCTCTCATTTTAAAGATTTATCTTGCTGAAAAGGATGATAAGACATTATTCAAACAGAGGACAATGTTGTGCAAATCCCCTCCACGTCTGTCAATATAACTAGACCAATGTACAGAGAAGAAATCAGACAATACACCTGCATACCAGGCAAGCCGAAGAGCATTCCATGTGCTTTCTCAGATTCAGGCCGGTGTTAATCAGCAGTTTGGGCTGAGACCGTTGGAGCATGCTTGGCCCTCCCCACCGGGGGCCTCTGTGTATGGAGCCCATTGTCTTCCAACATTAACAGACACAGAAGCATGAGTCACCTTCAAATCGTGTCTAGGTATTACCTACCTCATCCAATCAGAATGCTGGGAAAGGTGAAGACCAAGCACCTCTACGGCAACGTCGGCATGGTAATGCTTGAAGGCGCATACTTGAGGTGAAGCCTAACTGCGGTCTCATGGTTGGGATTTCAGAAGTTTACCCAAAATAAACAAAAAAAAAAACACTTCTTAATGTGTGTCTAACAAAAACACAGCTGGTCTTCCTTTGGTTGACATGGGTAATTAACGCCCACTAGTTATATTAGTGTTAAGTACATACTCCCTAGCTATCATTGGCCAACAACTTCTTCGAGTTTACCAAACCCTAAAAAAGATGACAGCAAACAGTCAAAACATATGATTATGAGTGAATCACATGCAAGGCACATAATAATCATCCAGTCAGATTGTTAGCAATAGCTAGAAGAATGCTAAAACAAAGGTATTAGCCAATCTTTGATATGACATTCGCCGCTGCTATTATAATAAACAGAGACTGGTAATGTAAATAGGCCAAAGTCGTCTCTCCAGTAATAAAATATCTTGTTTTTCCATTAGCAGATGTAAACTAAGGACAGTAACTTCATTAGAGGAAGTATATAAGGTCATCTGGCTGGCATCTGACACTGTAGTAAATGGGGAGAGTGAAATGTAATATTATTGCCATTGTCTGTCGCATATCCTGAGTCTGGTGCTTTAGTTGTGATTGGCTCTGTCCCAGTTGAGGGGATGAATGTTTAGATCTCTCATTCTCTGTCCTCCTCTCTCATTTAGGCAAAACCCACATAGTCAGTGTGTTTACTAGACAGTGCAGTTTATTTCTCTGTTCCAAATGAATTACCTACTGCATACAGGCA